CAAAAATAAAGAAAGCAGTTAGATGAGAAAACAAGTCAGTCAGCTGAAAGCTGCCAATCCAGTAAGGAGAAAAAAAGAAATAACAGATTGAGGAGATACAAAAACTGAAGTAATTCCAGATGATACCTTATGCATTGAAAGGAGATGACGGAAAGACGTGTGTCTCAAAAACAGCATTACAAGGTACACTGCAACCAATCAAAGCATTATTTTGAGTCGCCTGGTTAGGAACCTGATAAAAATGTGTGGAGTACATTTTAATCATTGCTCAGTTACAATAACTTCAATATTTTATTTGACTAGCAGCAAAACCATCTTCTTTTCCAGATTTTTGATAAGGCACTATTAAAAAAATCCTTGCGAACAACAAAGTAATTAAAAAATGCCAACTAACTTCTAAACTGGGACCTCAATCTAGTTCCTGTTTGCAGTATTTCAAACAAGTGATTTTCTCTTACAATAGTACATTAGAAATGTTCTCAGTTCATAGGAAGCACATATCCCTGTATAAATATATATAGGTACAGTCTATAAATCATACATTTCTATATACTTGTATTTGTTAAAAAACGTAACTTGGGTTTCCATTTTCTTCTGATTTATTTTGAAGTATCTAATAATACCTTTTAAATAACTAGGAAGTAAACTTTGGTAATGAGGGGACCATAAACTTTCTTTGCTAGACTGCCTACCCAAGAACACCACCACGTTTCATATTGCCCTGAGACCACCAAGCGTGACGCCACCATTACCGCCACAGGCAAACTTGCCAAGCTGTGATGTCCTAGCGGTGCGTGCGTGTGAAGCAAGGTGCTGCTCTTCAAATCCTGGGCTTCCCATAGAAAACAATTTCCATTCAGATGCATCCATCTAATTAGTTGTTGATCATTGTAAAAATATCTGGCTTCATTAGAACCTGAAAGCTGTCAACAGGTTTCAGCAACACTGCTAGGGAACACTGCAGATTCAAGACTATTTTAAAGGGCAAAGTCTTTCTTTTTCACATTGACCATAGGAAACACCAGGGGAAAAAAAAGGCCTTATGATAAGAAAATGCTGTCCTTAAAATATGCCAAAAAACTTATTTGCATTATGTTAATATCCAGATACAAATGAATACAAGCAAGAAGGAATATAAAAAATGAAATATAATTTCTAACAGCTACCCAATGTTTACCGACAGTTAAACCAAAATTTTGGATAAGTTCATAAGATTTAGCACCACTCTGTATAGCCCTGCAAACAAATGTTTAGACTTTCTCCTGAAATACTTTAGAATAACGAAAACATTTCTATTAGTCTCAAATCTTGTTTAAACAATGTCTTTAAGGTACAATTGTGTAATTATAGCAAAACAAAAGGACACTGCTACCAAAAGGATAAACTGCATAAATGTGGCATTATATTTGGCTTGAAAATCTGAAGAGGGTGTCAAAATCAAAGGACAGACTGTACCTTTGATTGAGTGAAAGAGGAATTAGGGAAGGAAAATCTACCCGAGAACACACGCAAACAACAGTCCAGTCATCTCACACCATTTTAAATCTGCCCCTCAGTTCTGGAACCAGAATCTGCCCTTTTTGAACGTAACTATCTGAAGACTCTAGTGTGAGGCACTTCACACAAAGGTGGTGAAAGGAGAAAACCACCACTAGCTCTAGCAAATAATCAACAGGGGAATGCAAATTAAGGCACCGCACACAAGGATGTGGAATTGTCTCAGTATAATTAACCTCCTTTGTGATGGTCAGACCACACACACACTTTATTTACAAGTTACGTCATCACAGGCTGTGTTGATTGACCTCTATCCTCTTCTATCTAACATCAACCAAAGCTTCGCTTTAAGGCAGTGAACTCTTCACAGAAGAGAGGATTTTCAAAAGGATATGTGCCTGTCATCTTTTCAAGAGCGCTAGGCAGACCTGGGAAAACTGCTGTTTTCTCTTCTCAAGAAGGGCTTAAGCAGAAAGACAGAAGCCTGCCTGTATTTATACAGTATTATGAGCTCCCTAAGGAAAGCTAAAAAATTTAACCATTACCTCAGGACTGAGAACATATAGGAGAGCATTAGTATGAGTTTGTCAGTTTTTGAGGAAATCAAATTAAAAAGAGAGAACAAAACAATACTGAATAAGATTGATGAACACCACCACCCACACTTACGTATAAAGCCAGGTATATAAATCCTACACCAAGGCTTAATGATCATGACAGTAAACTACAGAAATTTCCTTGCAGGTGAAGGAAATGAAAGACTACACGGTTGAGGTCTTTGAAAGAAGTCTACTACTCAAAAAAGCAAAAGTGAAAATCCTTAGCTCAGAACCCTCAAAAGAACACGAGGAACAGCATACCCCAAGGCAATATGTAAATGACCACAGTTTGAAAAAAAGCAGCACCCAAAGTTTACACACCTCGTACTAGATCACATGATGGCAGAGAAAGACAAGTGAAGGAAAAGACTGTATCATTGCACTTGGCAAGTGGAATTCCAGAGTATGAGACTGTAGTATTAGAGCTGCTGTTGTTGCATTAAGGGGAATGAAGCAGAGACCATTAGGGTCATTAAATGATTCAGGATTTATTATACATCTATAGTCAACTATATATCAAGTCTACCTTTCTGCTTTTATACTTCTGCATTAAAAATGGCCCACTTATTGAGAATAGTCATTCATCTAAGTACTGTTCCTACATTTTTTATTAAATTTCCTACTTTGTTTTATGTCTGTTTGTGAAAAAGCAATTAAAGTCACGAAAATTTCATCTGCTTACTCTGCCTCACAGGTGAAACTTCTTCTGAAACCAAGTAACCTTCTGGTGCAAAGCCTCTGTGAAAAGAGCTAAGACATGGCTGTTGAGAAGGATTTCTTCAACAGATACAATGACTGTTACACTATGTCTTCTCTTGCATTTTACCTAACCCAATGTTTTAAATTTGTTCCACATTAGAAGCATAGAATGTGCTCCTTCATGAAAGAGAAAGCTGAAGAGACTTGCTAAAAACAATCTTCTTTTTGTCATTAGATCGTTGGTGTGAGACTAATGTCCTCCCCAGTGGCAGGAAAGCCATTCCCATCGTGTAGCCTTATTGCTACTGGATTGCACTACCGCAAGACAAATAAGCAACCATACTGGAATATTAATACCATACTAATATAGATGTGCCAAAAGAGTTCACAGAATTTTCCCTCCCACTTCAAAGAAAATGTATGGTAACAGAAGTCAAGCTTCAGAAAAGTTTTCCCTGTTGTCATTTTAATATCGATGTTATTTCACGTGCACAATCAAGAGACCAGTTAGACTCATAAAATTACCAAGTTTTCACAGTTAGATTCCTAAGTCTTGTAGTCAACTTCGAAATAATCACAAAGATTAGCAAATCAAGTACTGCACTAACTTGATCTCATTAAGATAGCATTTAAAAACAGCATTCAAATATAATGAAAAATAAAAAATTGAAATTTTATATTCTCTGCCAAGAGATACAATAGATTTGCTTCTAAAACTCTAGACTACTTGAAGAAAAGCCAAAATGTAAGGGAGAAAATGAAAATGTTCATTTTAGGTGAAGAAAATATCCTAGCTTCAAGTGATGGGAATTGATCTTTAAAAGGTTTTCTATGTGCTGGCACCCTGACACACAGGGTGAGTAGACAGGTATGCCACGTCATCACGGCATGCGCTACTGCCTGCTGCTGAGGAGCTCCACAGCCTCCATCGCGTCTGCGATAAATCCGCACACTCTGAGCAGATTTTTAAAATATTCAGTACATTGTAAACTCCTAAAATGGAGTCTTCTATTGTGTACCATTTTATTGTTGGAAAATAGTTTCTCTTATTTTAGCTTGGGTTTCTGAAGCCTTTTTGGACCTAGTTTGGCCAAGTCCAAAGCCCGTGAACGTGTTTTCCAGTGTTATAAAGAAACACACTGAGCCACTCTCAGGGAAATGAAAACATAAATGCTTTCCTAAAAACATGGTTACATAATTTTCTTTGCCACCACAGACAGTAATAATGTTTCAGTGTTGCTAAAGAAATGAAAACTGACAGAACATAGATTTACAGTAAAAGGGAAGTGCCCCTCAACACATCAAATGCATTGTTGAAGCAACAGTTCAGAAGTCAAGCAGTACCAAGCAGCATATGGACCAACGTATCTACCACCCACCTTATCTTGAATAAAACAGGCAACATGAAAAGTGATTAACCCTCTTCTGTTGCTACAATGAGCACACGGATAGTTGTAGTTGCTTGAAACTACCTTGAGCTGTAAAAACTCCACTGCTTTATTCCCACTTGTGCATTCTAACACAAACTGAGTATACGTGAAAATTCAGTAACAGCGTTCTGCCTACCTGCCACAACGCTTCACAATAAAACAGCATCATAACACCTCTCTTTCAAGAGCATTCGGTAAGACCCCAAGATCAGTAAAACTTGAAGAAAAACTTTAAATATTGACCATAAATACGTATATAAGTACATTACAAGCATGACAACAGAACAATGATATAATTTATGATACCACATCAACAAAAATACAGTCCAAAGAACACAAGAATGAATAATGACATTTTCATGTGCCTTAAACTTCCAGATGCAGGAATTATGTTTGAAAACACATGCATGCACAGCTAGAAATCACATTCCTTCTTTTTAGCCAGCAGCTATACTCTAGACTAAAAATGTTTATATGATTTCTTTGGCTAGTGCAGACAGTACACAATGTTGAATCAACATGCCAAAACAAGACATCCTTTTCTCTGTCAGACAAACCCCTGATACTGCAACAGTACCCCTAAAAACATTTGGGGTTACAAGCATGGAAAAAATTCCAGAACTGTAATTCTTTGTCTTTTAACATTTCCTTTATCAATGAAGTTTCTGTCGTATTCTTTCTAAAGATGATTGATATGAGAAACTATGAGTAAAAGCGAAAATAACAAAAATTGTAAATGAGATAATGTAAAATATCAAAATAGTTATCAGATTTCCTAAAGATCCAAAACTAAAAGAGGAAAGTTGAGTCCCAATTAAAACTAACATGAGACTGTATCACAGCAATAGGTCTTACATTGCCATAGCAAGAAAAAGTTTGAAGATAAATATAATTCAAATGCAATATTTTCTCAACTACAATCAAAATTATGAAATAAAAGTATGAGAGAGCTCTTTCTTCATTTGCAAAAAAATACCCCAAAACCAGACAGATGTTACCCTTCCCTTTACTAGTTCTGGCTTTTTTACAGCAATCTTGTGTCAATATCTGAACTTCTTAAAAACAAGTTTATGCTGAGTTTGGCCCCACATCAGTGAATTAAAGGACAAAATAATAGCCTAAAGACAAAATATGCTATACTTGGAAAAACAGGGTTACACCGAATGAGCTTAATATAAAAAATTTTATATATCATATAAAGCACAGAAGAAATAAAAGTATACAAGAGCCATAATATTGTTTATATTACAACTTAAATTAACTTTTCAGTTTATTATCAGGGATAGTTTTCTACAATATAGAATACAAAGGGGGACAAAAGATTTTGCCCTGATATTTTGAATAGTTGTTTTTAGTCTTCAGGCAATATAATCAGATTAGCTAATACAATACTGTTTCCACAAATGAATACTTCTGCAGTAATTTAATTCCTATAGCAGAACTTTTTCTTTTACTTGGTCAGTATTTCACAACTTAGTTATTTTATGGAAATAAGTTGAGACTTCTGTTTAAGGAGATCTCTTTACCCAACAGAAGAAATACTTTCACAAGGGCACTCTCTTTGTAAGCAATAGGGCCTTTCTGAGATCACAGTTGTATTACAATGTATTACAACTATCTAGCTTCAAAAACGGATTTAATTTCACACTAGCCTAAGAAGATTCCAAGCCAATGCATTTAGCATAGTAACTGTAGATTGTACTTGCCTAGAATAATTTTGCATTTTAAATTGTTCTGTAAGGATTCAATGTGCAAACCCTTTAGAGTCAGCAGACTTAATTTGGCACTGAATGGATACTAAAACGGATCTCTGAATGAATACTTCTCAGAAGTACATAGTACTATTTTTTACTGCATAATTATAAAACCATTACAGATTTATAGTAGGAATCATTGAATGACAATTTTTTTTAAACAACTATATGTTAATACACTGAATTTCTACTTCATTTTATAATTTACTCTTCCTCACAATATGAGAAACTACACAGTGGAATGAAATCCTGTTCCTTTTGAAATCAAGAACCATCTGAGACTGACCTCAGACATGTCAGAATTTCATTTGTTGTCTGTCTGAACTATATTAGTTAGCTCTCTCTATCTTGGTGTGTTATAGCTGTAATAGAATGTAACACACCTACTGCAGCCAAAATATTATACAAATTTTAAAATTGCATTTTCTGAATTATTCTGATGCTATATAATGTTTAATTTCATGACTTCTCTGAAATAAAAATGAATATCATGCAACCAAAAAAAAAAAATTCCGAAGTGCTTAGTTGTTTGACTTCTCCAATTTGTTAAGATTGGAATTTTAGGATGAAGGGGGGAACAGGAACTTACCTACTTGGTACTTTGGGTAATAAGTTGCCATTTGTCCACTACTGCATGATTGTCTCTTATGCCTTTTTCTTACATTTGTATCAGTGGTCTCCCATTGTGGACTTTTTCTTTTGTTTATTCTGATAAGAACTTCAGAACTACCAGCAGGACTATCATCATGGTTTACACCACTACTTAATTTTCTGCTGTGAAACTGGTCATCCAGCCTTTCAGTCACTTTAGAAGAATTAGATCCTTTAGATGTTTCCGTTTCATTTTCTTGTCTCTGTAATGCGTTTTGCTTAGTAGAATGGGACCTCAAAAGAGGATGTCTTTTTTCTTCCATATAGGCCTGACTGCTTTCAGTTTCAACAGCTTCAGGAGAATAAAGGACATTATTTAACTTAAATGAATTGTGCTGCTCAATATGGTTGATTTTTCTCAGAAATATCCTACAATCTTTAAAGGTTTTGGCTTTCCAAGTGTTTTGAAACAGTTTATCTTGGCTTTGTTTTTCTCTAACATTTTGTTGGCAGCAAATTTTTCCATTTGTCTCTGCATGCGACTTAAATATATTTGCTAAACCAGGATGTGGGTTAAAGTCAGAAGATCCCATCATCTGTTGAACAAATGCATCTCTGGCTTCATTTTCAGTTGGCAAGAGGCTACTCTGAGATTCTACCAAAGCCTGCACGGGCTGGATTTCTACTGTTTTTATTTCCTGGAGCTTGGGCATTTCATCACTGGTTTCCCCACTTGTACTTTTAAACAACTGGCTTTGGCAAAAGAACTGCAAATTTTTCTTTTTTGATTTCCAGCCTCCAGGAGCCTGATTATAGAGCTTTTTCGCCTGCCCCCACCTATCACGCTGTAACTTCTTAAATTCATTTCTTTTTAATCTGGCTAACGCCAAATTACTTCTCATGCTCAAGACTGGAGACCTCACCATGTTATGTAATATTTGCAATTTCCCTGCTGGTTTTGAAGGAGAAGATAGTGCAAACTTTTTAAAGTGCTTTCTGAAAGGGCAAGTACTAAGATCAGATTGTTTAGTTTCCATCTTTATCTCTCTAGTACTAACTACTTCTAAAGGATTGCGAGCATTTGCTTTTCTCACTAGAGAGAGAGACTGGGTTTCTGTAGTTTGCATAAACCAGGTGCAGAGTTCATTCATGTTACACTTCTTCTGAAAAAGCATTTTTATAGGTGATGTTTCAAGCTCTACAAGGCAGGAGTCTAAAGGGTCTGACATTTCAGCATTACAGTCTTGTTCAACGGGATCCCTGTTTTCACATACACATTTATCAAACTCATGTCCCCCCACTCGCAACCAGGTATTAGTCATCTGTTCAAATCTATTATTTAGTTCTTCCAACAAAGTGTCACTTGAGGTGGAAGTAGCCCACCACCTGAGAGACGGACTCGTTGAAAAAATGGGATCTGACGATACTTCATTAATGGGCCCGAATTCACCATCCTTAAGATCTTTTTTCGCATTTCCTGAATTTCTCAGTTCTGAGGTATCTTTGGATGTCGTGCTCTGAACTGATTGCCTACGTTTTTCCTTTCGATCCTTAGCTTTTTTCAAATGGTGTTTGTAAGATTTATGTAGTAAGGCACTTCTACATGTAAATGCACTAGAAGATGCTAATGAATGTAAAAAATGCAGTGAGGGCTTTCTGTCTCTAGCAGAATGTCTCAATGGAATTTCACGTTTTCTTGACACTGTTGCAATAACATTGTGTGGTCCATCCTCTCTAGAATCTTTCTGCATGCTCTTTACTTGACCCATATTACTGCACAGTTGAGCTTTTCTCTCCTGTGATGTGTTTTTTTCTAACATGTTCTGCTGTTGTAAAGGAAGCAAACAGTTGCTAATACTCACTTTTCTTTCCTGAGGTGAAACTCTATTAACAGTCACTGATATCCCGGAGATTTTTACTTTTGCTGGCCTACCAGGTTTTCGAATGGTGGTTATCGGTTTCTTAACTGGCTGTATAATATTGCTGCAAGGATGCGGTGATGCTAGGTTACTCTTGATAGGTCTGACATAGTCATAACCAGAGACCTCGTTTTCAGTAGAAGAATGCTGTAAGGCTTTTACTATTTCAGTGAAAGCATTTTCAGTTTCTGCATTGTGGCTCGCTTTGCTGTGGTCATTGGCAAAATTAGAATCAATGCGTTGTGTGGGCAGAATGCTGATTAGATTCAGGTTACCTTCAGAAACATGTCTCTTAGTTCTTCTTGACCTTCCAAAAACAACCGTCACAATAATGTTTTTGTTGCTGTTAACTTCTTGCATTACTGCTGCATCAGACTTGGTACTTTCACCATCACTGCTAAGTTCAGGTCTATGTTCTGAGCTTTCAGCCATGTCCATTTTTGGTTTTGGAGGTCGTCCAATAGGTCTTTTAACCTGTTTAACAACTTGAGGACCTATTTTCTTTGGCCTACCAGGTTTTCTTTTTAAAACTGATTCACTGCTACTGCTTGATTTCTCCACAACTCCTTCATTTTGTTTCAAGTCATTTAAGTTAGTTTGACCAACTGGACAAGAGCTCGCAATTGCTTCCGCATAAACACAACTTGACTCCTCCTTGGTATATTTTTCATTGTAATCACGATCCTTGACACAGATTGCATGAGAAAGATCTCCTGTGGACTGTTCGTCTAACAAAGCGTTTGCATGCCCCTGAAAGAAACAAATGTCTGTGCTTCCTTTAGCAGATGCAACTGCAGATGTCAAAGTATATTTGACTCCTTCACTACTATTAACCTCCGAGACAAACATAAGCTTAACAGGACTAGAGTAGCTTAACGGAGATGAGATCTCCCCAACTTCAGAAGCTGTATGCAAGTCCCCATTACTGGAATTTGAACTGAATGAATCAAAGGTCAGAGATTTCAAAAGGCCGTCATTAATTTCTTGATCTATAACCATTTCTTGTTGGGTTGTTGTCACACACACAGTTTTGGTTTTACTGCTGCTTGGCACGCGTGAATGTGGAAAGAAGCTTTGTCCTATGCATCCCGTTTCACTCAGAGTGAAAGGTAAGCCTCTTCCAGCAGCTGGGTTCATAACCTGTTCATAAGCATTATCTTTTAATTTTTGGCTTATTTTGTAACTATCCAGCAATGAGTTGTTAGTCTTTCTGGCTAAGTTTATTGTATCTTCTAAACGCTCTACAACAACTTGCAGATTTGTGTCTCTCACAATTTTGCTTATATTTATGTCACTGCATCTTTCAGCATGAAAATCTTGATTTATTTTCATTTTCTCCGAGCTTTCTAAAGCCTTTTTTGCATTGGATGACTTTCTGAACACAATATTGTTTGTTACATACACAGAGTACCATCGAGGAGGCACAACATTACGTTTAGTTCTGCCTAAGATTTCATTACTCTCACCTTTTAGTGGAATCTGATCAGTCTCTCCTAAGGCTACACAACCTCCTCGTGTTTTTGTGAGTTTCGCCTGGCTGGCTGCAATAGCACTGTTTTCTGAAAGAACTAGAAAGCTGGAGCTGCTCTGAAAATTTGGAAGAGGTAGTTTGAAAGACTCTGTTTGGTGTACAGGAAAGCACATTGGTTTGGTTTGGCAATTCATGCACGGATTCCTCTCAAGATGTTGCAAAGCCTCATCTTCTATCACAGTAAAACTGTGTCTTTTATTTGGATACATTTTATCAATTTTTTTTGTAGCTTTCTTTGCATTTCTCTCAGAAATTGACTTTTTTCTTACAAGAGTTTCATCGAGGCTTGCAAGCTCCCTCTTGATTTGCAAAGACTGTCGTCGAATGAATGGTGAATCAGGAGAATTATACATTGCAAATAAAGTTTCCTGACGCTTGCGAAATCTTGTTTGGATAATTTTATTTTCCATTTGCTTATCATGTTGATGTAGTAATTCCATAAAGCTGTAATCACTTGGTTTAGCACTATGCAAAAGAGAGGTTATGAAGTCTCCTAATTTGACATCATTTTCTGGTGCCCTGTCACTGCTAGAAAGCTTTACAAGATTTGTTGCTATATCTGTAGTGTCTATTGATTTTAACTTTTCATTAATACGGTCCATTAAGTCTTGAAAAATGGCAGAATGTTCACCTTTCTCAGCCTTCTCAGAATTTGTATAATTGTTGCTTTCTTGGTTGGTTGATAGCAACGTTCCATCTGAATATTTGATCTCTTTTCCTCTGCATGTTTTACCCTCATATTCAATTTCTCCTCTGCTTCCTTCAGCTGGCAAGAGGGATGGAGGCTGGTTGATGGATATTTCAAGCTTGTTATTGTCTAAAGCCGGAAAATCTATAACTGATGCTTCTGATGATTCAAATTCTTTACTCTGTACAGGTGATAGTGGAGGCGGTGATGGGCTGCGAGATCTATTTGAATTTTTAATGCTGCTCAGGAGATCACAGTCCTTAGTTGAGTATGTACATGTTGCTGCTTTCACAGAATGCCTGTTAGAATTTTGCAATTGTTCAGCACAATACTTATGAGAACTACATGCTTGGTTCACCACTGTCTTAATACATCCAATCGCTACAGCTTGGCATGACAAAGAATGGAAATCTTTAATACAAACAGACAGAGGTGGTAAACAACTGTTTGGTCTTTGATTTTGTAAACAGCACCTTTTTGTCAGCATATGTCCACTGCAATTGCAGAATGAAACGTAAACATCCTCTTCAGTAAGGGAACTGGTAGTGTCAGAGTGGACCAAATGTGTTTGCTTGCAACTGCAAACTATAGGAACATTTTCGTCTTGTATTAAAAATTTTAACATAGCCAAAGTCTGTCGCCAGTGATATGAACAAAAAGACTCCAAGACTTTGTTTAATGTTGATTTTCCTTTTTCCAAATTAGCTGTTTCCTCTGAATATGCATCAGCTGTTGAGCTTGAACTGAAAACAAAAACAAATCAAAACAAAATATAAATTACAGTAAGACACCATATCTAATGTTTGTCATAATGGTTAAACTCAAGCCTAAAAACCTGAAACTTGTAACAGTTCTATTTGCACTATTCAATCATACTTGAAAGTGTCACCTGCAATGACGTGCATCTTAACTATAACAATGATAGTCCTACCATAAGAAAAATAACCAGGAAGAATTAAGTTTGAAACACAGCTTCTCATATCTAAATGTAATTACAATAATGTTAACTTTCTGATATTTCAAACTACCTTAGTCATTAATGAAGGAAAACCTCACCAAGAACCTGGGGAGCTTAGCATTACTCCCATTTCACACCTGAGGCATAGAGAGGGTAAATGACTTGCCTAAGGTCACAATTCCAGGTTGAGGTAAGAATGGATCCATCTCTCCTGAATCCCACCTTAAGATATTCATGTACCAAAGTGTATTGAATGCTCTTCAGGTTACTCTTAAAGATCCTTCTAAACACATTTTTATTTAGATATGTGTTTTCAAAGAACACTTAACAGGCTAATGGAAAATGGAAAAATAGCCACTTGCTACTGTTACTGTTCTTTACAGATAAAAGTTTCCTTTCTAGTTTTTAAATAAAATGCAGTGGTGCATCACAGGCTCTTCACTGCCATGTATTACACACACATACACACACACGCGTGCACACACACACAGATTCCTTCACTAAACAGAAACAATCACCACTGGAATAAATAACTTCTGTGATAGAAGTTAATATCCTTTATCTCAAATATAGGGTAGGCCTATACCTAAATAAGACTTCTAAGCAGTTGTTCTCAAACATAGTAACTGAATCACTTATAAAATACTACCTTAACTATTTAATTAATTTCTTACAAATTATTAAAACTAATGTTGCTACTTACCTAATCAATCATTTATACTGAAAAGCTGAAAATTTTCCATGGTAGAAATTAATACAGATATTTCTTCAATTAAATACAAGATCCTTATGCTGGATAGCAACTATCAACAGATAGTTAACACCTAATTCAAATATTTTACTGAAACCAATTCCATGAGCAGAAAATGTTAGAAGAATTCTGTTTTAGAAAAGTATGTATTGTTTAAACATATCACCAAACTCTGAACATGACACTAACTTTTTGTCCTACTATTATCTCTTGCAATTTTTTGCATTTAAGCCTGTACTTTGGAAAAATTTAATTATGATTGGGTTTACAACTGTATTGATCAAGGAACAAATGTATTTTAAGTGTAATGTGTTGTATTTATATAAAAATATCTATTCATTAATTAGCTCATATGCAGTGTTCTTAGCAGCAATAATAACTTTGAGCTTCAGGTTTCTTACTGGAAGTTATATACGAAATTTATTTTTTTTATTGTCCTACACAGTATTTAAAGTTTAGAGATTAAAACCAGTCCACTATGTTTAATAATTCCTCATGTTTTTTTCCTTCTCCTGTAATATTTAGTATGAAACAGTATATATTCAAAGTCAAACATCTAGATGATACTAACTCATAAAAGCATAAGGTAATTGTGATGGTACTTGGTGGAAACTGAGATTATGTTTAAACTGAAATAACTGAAGTCTTAAAAAGAAAAAAAACCCTTTTTGCACTTGCAGCCTAAACAGCATAATTCAAGGGCATGTCATTGTCAGGATTTAACTGTTTCTGAAATGCCACTGAGCGTTACTCAGTCCAACAAACTCAGGAGTCACAAGGTGTTGAAATGTATCCCTACACTAGCGACAACAAAGCTTATTCTAGTATTACACTTATGGATAAAAACTAATTGCCCTCCCCACCACTACAACTTTAAATAATGTTTTGAAAGGCTAGATAGAAAAAAAATGAACACAGCACTCAGTCTTCAATATTTTGTTTGTAAATAATAGTAAATTAATTAAGTACTAATTTGCTAAGAAGATGGCTACAGTACAGTCTTTTTAGACTGAATCTCTAGTCAGATACCTTTCTGACTCTCTAAACTGCAAGGTGTCTACTGGAGTTTCACTGGAGAGCTTTAATTGTAGAGGACCTGTACCCATAACTGCTATGTAAAATATGCTCACTGGTGGAAGAAACTTCCAGAGCCCTAAAGCCTTCTCAAAGTCAGTTACCAAAATTTCCAAAGGCCTCAAAACTGTTTCTAATTTGCTATGTGGAGCTCAACCTGGTGTATAAAGTAATATCCTGGTTATCACAGACATACTGGACATTTTTCTAACAGTTTCTTTCCTGGCTATCTACCTTTGTGTAACGTCTATAATCTACTTTCCCTTAGCATGTGTCGGTTTCCAAAGCTGACAGGACAACTCGACTTCATCTATTCTACTGTAATAGTAGCACACTCCAAACGATCTTCCAAGTTTCTGAAAATACATCAACCCCTCGCTCAGTCACCCTCTGGGAACAGAGCTTACTACGCAATCAAATTAACGCATTAAAGCAACATAATTTTCTTTAAAGTGTCTCTCTGTAGAGATGTCCATATATTTAAACAAACTATTTTGAGTAGCTTTTCAATTCAAATATGGAATTGTATTTCAGTTTCCTATAATTCCTTCCTATAAGCCTTTTACATTTGGGTTGTCACATAGTAGTTTAGACTATCCTCAAGATAAAAGGCTTAAACAATAATTTCATAGAAGGAAGAGCTATCACTTTCACAACTGAGTACTTCCTTCACAGAACAGTCTTATACTGCCTACCAGTCCCCCCCAAAAGATGGCTAAAGAGCGTGAGTAGGAAATGGCGGGGTTGAGAAGCGAGAGGCTCAATACGTGCTGCTCCCCCAGTACCTTTTGTGCACAGTACCTCTGAAGACAGAAGCATGGAACGACATTATTTCCCCACCGTAGGGCAGGGGCAGTTAATACCATGGGCTGGGGATTGACTGGAGTCCAAACTTGGCACAAAGGCAGAGATGTGATAAGGTTACGTACTAGCCTTTCAGCGTATTATTTTATGTACAAAAAAGTAAACCTTTAGCCTCCTCCACAAATCCCAAAAACTATCATGGAAGAGCTCTGTCAGAGGACTCCCAAAAGACGCCCTTGCCTAGCATTCTGTCCTCTGTCGTCTCAGCCACAGGCAAGACCGATCAACCTAGCAACTTCTCTGCAGACCGGGAACAGGAACAAAACTGGGAACAGAACATACTCTCAGGTACTCATATGAACAGCCTAGAACGATTACAGAAATATAAATTTGTCTAATAGAAATGTTTGTTTTCTGACTTTACCAAGTAAATAAATCCCTCAAAAGAGCTCTGCATTATCTGTAATGTATCATAGATAATTTTTAGCTTCACACTAAAGGATGTAACAGCTATAAAATTAGTTTTCTGAATTTCTCCTCATTTATGAGTAACGCATCAGTTCTGAGAAATCATCCTTCTTTAAAGCTACTGTTTCTGATATATAAAATTCTCACAGTAAATTAGTCATTATGTGCTTAATTTGTAGTTGTTGGTCTTATGCCCCTGCTAATAAATTTGTGCCTCAGGAGTAAGTCAAATGAGTCAGTGTACAGGTTTTTGTTTCTTTCTTTTTTTTTTACTGAATGAGCAAATCAATCACACATCAGTGTTGTAAATTTATGTGCAAAAGCATTGAAGTGCTTTACTACAAATTACAACGTAGAAACACGTTAACTAAACAATTAAATTCATACAATCAGATTTAGGAATATAACAACACAAAGAAGAAACAGAATTACAGTACATTTACAACACAAGACATACATGGAATTCATTAGAAAATATTGTAATAAATAATTCATGAATTATAGTGCAATTGATTTATGCATAAATATAACTAATTGCCTAAAAATCAGTCTTTAACAAAAATCTGTCAAAAATCAAAGCAGCCACAGAGTTTTACTAAATTACTGCGACAATGGAAATACTGCAATTAAAAAACAAATACAAGTATTTGTACTGTAAACAACTAAAAAAATCAGTCTCACTAAAGTTAATATACAATTTAATATAAAATTGTCATTAGCTACCAGAAATGGTTTAAACAGCTTTACTGAGCAGTAGTTCTAAAAACAGAGGCACTGTTTTTTAATATAAAATACTTGAGAAACATTCAAATAAGTAGAAAGCATGTAGGGCTTGCTTTCGCCTTCATTTAAAATCTGCTGAA